CTCAAGTTTGAGTCGTTCTCATTCGCCGTGCGTCGACTGTACTGCTGAACAGTCTAGGATTGGGCGAACTTGGATCGATCTTTGGAAGATCGATCTTTTTCATCCCGATTTACGATTTTTCGGATCGGATCCACGTATTTACATCGAAAAAACGATTTACTCTCAACACAGACTGCGTTGTAAATTTAACGAAAATAACGTTAATTTTTTTTTATTTAAAGTACAAGAATGGTTATAAATGGCATGTCTAAATAAGTTAAATAAGCAAATAACTTGTTAGCATTGCTAAAATTATCCAAAAGTTGAAAAGTATTGACACGGTGTGCCCAAAAAGTTCAAATATCCATTACGCAGCATTTGAAAAATTGAGTTATATGTGGGTAAAAAACAGCAGAAAATATGGATAGAATTATTTATAAAACTGTAACTTTTTTTTTTAAATAATGAGAAGCAAAGGATCAAGGAAATTTTATGGGATGGATTTTTTGAACTAATTGTCGATGTAGTTCTTACTATTTGATGCAGTACCAGAATTTGAAGATTTTATTAATTTTAAATAATTCTAATATTACTCTGAGGTTGATCGGATTTACAGTTTAATTCTTGACATCATACAACACACAACACCCAGCAGACCAGTAGGCAATTTTATTTTGAAAATTACCCGGCTTGAGGTGGGAATCAAAGCCTAACATCGTGGAACGCACACACAGTTTACCTACACTACGGGTAACTAAACTATTCGCATGACCATTTTGCCAAAGAATAATGTTATTATATTACTAAAATGAAAGTCTGATAGCTTCATTTTTGAAGTCTCAGGATCATGCAATGATTTTAAATTCCGGAATTTATATTTTTCCTGCGTCCCTGGCATGAAGTTTTTGTGTTAGTCTGAATTTACTTGGAACTCTTCACAGGATATCTTAATTTTTTTTTGTTCAATGTGAATCATCCTAGAATTCCACCATATTTCTAATCATCCTAGAATTTCCACCATATTTGAAAATATCTAAACTTTCCCAGCAAAATTATACGAGTTCTTATCATTACCTCTTGTAACATCTTATAAATTACTCTCCAATTCCACAACTCCCTCAAACTGGTAATAATTTTCCAGAATTGGCTCAATTTTGTGTCCATTTTTCTCTATGAAACTCTTAAAATATTCTTAACAATTTCCTAGGTACACTCTTCAGAATGACCGTCACACGTTGTAGGTCAGATCAGAATTCTTTTAAAATCCTTTTCAATATTACCTAAGTACTCAAGTACTTTGCCAAAATGGTTTTGAAAGTCTCGCAGAAATTGCGCTAGAATTTTTTCTAAATTAATCTCCGTAAAACATTGTACAGAACTCCATTGAAATTATTCTCTCAATTCGTATCAGCATACTCCTTAAGTTTCATCATTAGAATTTTCTATGATTTCTCTTTCGGATTGTATTTCCTTTATTGACAAAATGGAGACAAATTGTCATCAGAGTTGACAAGAAAATTGACACCGTCTTCAACCAGAGGTTGCAAAGACTGAATATTTAACGGACAACACACCGCATCCATTAGACCAGTAGGGACATTTTCAGGTTGCCAAAATTTGCACCGGCTGGAGTGGGAATCGATCCCTTACTTCGTGGCACTCACAATACGCCTAAATGATGGGTGACGCCGCACGACCCCGAAGCCCACAAAGATGGAAGTAATTCTACTTAGAATTAGTTTGAAATTCTCCTTTGTTTTCACAAAGAATTCACCTCACACTTAACTGTGAACTATTTTCAGAATAACCTGAAAATTCCAATAATGTCCAACGTTGATGGCCTCTAAAAATTAAACTACCAAGTTTGGCTTTTTATTTTTTATTTTTTTAATAGAAGGTAAATTAATTGCAGTGATATTTTTAATGCAACATATTAAAACAATCTGGAAAAATCTGGAACATATTTAAAAAGAATTGGAAATATACGTGGTCTTTCCCAAGTAATCAAAAGTTCTAATAAAAGGCTATTTGTGGCTTAAGCAGCTTGGTTGAAGGTGGTCTATAGAATTCTAAGCAGCCTCATTTTTAAGTCGTTATAAGAACTTGAAAGTTCCGTTACCATAATTGAAGAGCATTCTAAGCAGCTTCTGGCGGAACTTGAACGGACCTTTTAGAAAATAAATTTAAAAAAAGGTTCTATATTTAAGTTCGCACTTTTATGAAAGTTATTTCCAAAGGCAGGTATTAATGTGTATTGATTTATCAGCATTAGTCCTAGACTAGAATTGGTACTGTTTGAAGAATTAAACCCAGTGAGAACCCCAGCACGAACCGCTACGTCATCTGAGATATCTTAAAGTGAGCTGTTGTCCCGCCTACTGTTCGAGTTTACAGTGCCAGCTGACTGACTTGAATACGAAACACAACACCTTGATGAATTTTAAATTGGTGTTTGCCCGCAAATAATTCCAACACACTTGTGGCGCAGTGGTTAGCAATCGTAGATCGCATGTCGAATACACGGGTTCGTATCCAGGAATTTACTCTTTATGTTTTTTTATGTTTGGATATAATGTTGATGTATATTAATACATTTAATACAAGAATAATGATTTATTCTGGCCACTGATAATTTCATATTTACGTACATTAAATTTTGTAGCTTATAAATAATTGTGCGGATTCCTTCATGTGGCTTGAAAGTTCTGTCGGAACTTTATTTGAACTTTATGGAACTTGAAACTTCTGTCGAGACTTGATTCGAACTTTATGGAACTTGGAAGTTATTTTAATCGTTGAATGCGGAACTTTTGGTTACTTGGGTTCTGTGTATCTGGCAAGACGACTAAAAATCTGGAAAATCCCGATAAATCTGGAATACTGGCAACGCTGGCTGCAACACAACTCGCTCGGGTCAGTAGAAGGAAACGACCAAATTGTTAGCTAGCTGCTTCACAAAATAAAGCCGAAGATGATACACGTGTGTTAATGTGAATTTTTTGTTATGTCTTTTCTCGATTCCGATCAAGCTACGGACCATGTATAGTGCAACAAAGCAGGCAAGCAATATATTATTATCCGTCTACCATTTCGATCGAGCTGTATTGGCGTTGACGGCACCGTCGAAAAATTTGCTCTTCCAGCAAATATAGACAGTTTCTTATGGGAATTTTCGGTGGAGTGAAAGGATAGTACAAAGTACGCCATGTTTCACGCACAGTCTGACGTTTGCTTATGGATTTTCTCATAGGAGTAAAGAGCTACAGAGTCGCCGTCAACGCCAATTGCAGAGTGAGTTTTTAGTGGAAGTCGTAGTAAACGTTTTGTTTGTATCGTTGGTTGCTTTATGTGTTTTGATTCAGTGAGCGAGAGGCTATTTTCATAAATGTTGCACCGAAATTCAGGTAGGAAATGGCCGAACATCGGATTTTTTTTTTTATGTAAACACCGAATACCTGGCCAAATAGCACTATTCGGCGCCTCACTTTTACAGACTGTTCCTCAAACTGTGAACTAACTTTAAAATTTATATTATCTCTTATATGGTTGAGAACAAATTCGGCATAATCATCCATTTCCGTCATATCGTGCAGAAACATCAATAATGCATTAAGTAGGATAGTTTAGTTCAAGGATGAAGTTTTTGGTAATAGATTTAACGTATGGTACGATCGAAACTTTTCGTGACCTGGAAAAAAAAAACTGGTGATGGAGTTTTGAATGCAAAATAATTTCCATACTTAACAATTATCCAAACTATTACTCCTACACAGGTCTACATTGATATAAGCTAAAAAATACTATCAAGTTTTATGAATTAATTTATTAAGACTTTTTCCAGAACATATTCTGTGAATGAATGCAGTTCATAATTTCATGTCACCTTGTTCAGTAGAAGATTATAAAGTTTTATGAAGATGAAAATATTTAACTTAATCTACTTTTGCTAATGGGTAACTGCACGAAAATCATGGGTAGCCACGATTTTGTTCACCCTAGTGCCTAGTGTATATGTGACGCCAAATGAAACAAATTTTGACTACCTAGCTGAAATTTAACGACAACAGCACTGTTTTACCCATTGTGCATGGTTGCCATACAAAGCGGAAGTGCATCTATAACACTAAGTTGAGTGCCGGAAAACGCATCAAAAACCTAGAATAAGAAGATGGTAGGTTAAGATTAAGACCATCCCCAACCAACCCAAGTAGTTATCACCTAAGCACAACTTGGACTAAACATGCATTCCTGGAACAATCTAAACTTCATTCCAGAAACAATCAAATCGTACCTACATTATTTGTTCACCTAAACATCATTCCAAATGCTTGCCCTATTTTGTGCTGTAAACTTCAAAATAACGAGGTAAGCCGTCACTTGTCGAAAATTAATTGCCCTACAACTATGCCGTGCTCACATCTCCCTGAATGCAGGTAAATATAATGCAGTTCTCCACGTGGGCTCTCGATTCACCTCATCGCACACCGAGAACACGAGAACCACGGAGAGAAAGGACACGCTCCAGATGGCAAAATGAATTATATTTCGGATACTTTTAGCATATATTTCACCTAAAATTAAGCCGGCCGCTTCATCGTGCACGGATTCAAGTATGCTCGTACACCAGTTCTCCCATAATAAGATAAAACTTTTATTGCCGGCCGTATGCCTTTGCTACAGTTGCTAGTTAGGGTCCTCCGAGCAGCCGGATATGGTGACTACATGTGTGGCTATATCAACCGCCGGGCAATGTTCTCCTCCATGTGGCACACGATGTAAGGGAAGTGCTCACCGGATGACAACGATAAAACCCAAAACCGTGTGAGCCTATATTTAGAGGAAGAGAAGCATATCCTTAGCATCAGACCGGACTAACTATTTATAAACTTCTCAGTGTATGAAAATGTCTCTAATTTGTCCCATTCTTCTTAATGCTAGCCGTAGGCGATGACCTGGAACTTGCGGGAGCTGGAGGACTTTTTGATAAGTGGAAAAACTTTCTTTAATTAAAACAAGTGCAGTTTGACATGTTAAATAGTTTATTGTGTTAGTCGTTCTTCACAAAAGAACTCACTCAAAAGAGACGTTATCACAAATTCTACGCAATAAGTTAGCCTAATTAAGAGTAATACAGGGGATCTAAAATGGACTTAATGCTAATTTACATTTGCTCAAGACGGCTCTTGAGCTCCTGCAATTCTTTGGCAATTTCCGTCGGTAAATCCCGCGGCAACTGGTTGTCATAGTATTGCTTAATCTCATCGACCTCCTTCAGCCAGAACTGTTTCGGTATCGAGAACAGTTCCTTCTCGTTCACTGGGCTACTCAGTCCGTTGAGGTTCAGTGCTCCTGGTGCCGGGATGCGTCCGACCGGTGTTTCCCGATAGCAGTCGTGGTCATCGACTCGCTGCAGGATCCAGTCCATAACACGGCAGTTTTCGCCGAATCCAGGCCACAGGAATTTGCCGTCCGAACCCTTGCGGAACCAGTTGATGTGGAAGATTTTGGGCATATGGCCACCGGCTTCCGTGCAACGCTGCTCCATACTGAGCCAATGGTTCATGTAGTCTCCAAAATTGTACCCGAAGAATGGTCGCATAGCGAACGGATCGTTCATGATCATCTTGCCCTTGTGTTCGGCGGCGGCAGTAGTTTCACTGCGCATGGCCGAACCAACAAATACTCCATGGGCCCACGAGTTGGCCTCGTATACCAGTGGAACACCCTCTGGGCGGCGTCCTCCGAAGAGAATGGCCGAGATTGGAACTCCTTGATTATCCTCCCAGGCCGGATCTATGATTGGGCATTGACTGGCAGGAGCGCAAAACCGAGAATTCGGGTGGGCAGCTGGAGTTTTCGATTCCCCTAGCTTCCAGGGATTACCCAACCAGTCGGTGATCTCCACTTCGGGGTCTATTTCATTCTCCATTCCCTCCCAGAAGACTCCACCATCGGAAGTGGCGGCGACGTTCGTGAAGATAGTGTTTTTGTACACGGTTTTCATGGCATTCGGGTTGGTTTCGTTAGACGTTCCCGGTGCGACGCCGAAGAAGCCATTTTCCGGGTTGATAGCACGCAGTTGACCTTTGGAGTCAAACTTCATCCAGGCAATGTCATCACCAACGCATTCCATTTTGTACCCAGGCAGGGTGGGGTTCATCATGGCCAGGTTGGTCTTGCCACAGGCTGACGGGAAAGCGGCGGTGATGTATTTCTTGACACCATTCGGATCGGTGATTCCCAGGATCAGCATATGTTCGGCGAGCCATCCTTCACGCTGGGCAATGGTGCTGCCTATCCGGAGAGCAAAGCACTTCTTGCCGAGCAGGGAGTTTCCTCCGTAGCCGGAACCGTACGATACGATTTCGTTGTTAGCTGGCTTGTGCAGAATGATAGTACGCTCCGGATCGCACGGCCAGGAAGGCATAGCGATCTTACCGTTAGCTGGAGTGCCAACCGAGTGCAGACACTTGATGAAGTCCTATTAAATAGAAAATCTGATAAGTTGAGGGTCTAGTAGAAAAATAGCGTTCAACAACTTACCGAGTTATCTGCGAGCTTGTCCAGCACTTCCTGACCCATGCGGGTCATGATGCGCATCGAGCAGACGACGTACGCCGAATCAGTGATCTCAATGCCAAACTTGGACAGCGGTGAAGCAATCGGACCCATCGAGAACGGAACCACGTACATGGTGCGTCCCTTCATGCATCCAGGAAACCGCGATCGGATCGCCGTCTCGTAGTCTTCCGGCGAGATCCAGTTTCCGAGCGTTCCCTTGACGCCTTCCTTGGTTGTCGGAATGGCCTGCTCACGGCGTGCCGTGCAGATGAACGTCTTCGATTCGACGCGCGCCACGTCGGCCGGATTCGTTCGGGCCAACCAGCAATTGTCGTACTTTGGCAACGGGTGGATGGTACCCTGCCCCTGGAGGACCTGCAGCAGTGCCTCGCTTTCCGTGTCGCTTCCGCTGACGATGTGGATCCGATCGGGCCGGCACATGGCTACCGATTCCTCCAGGAAGTTGCGCACCTTGGCCGACAGTTGACCGACGTCGCCATGGACGATCGAAACACCGCGAATGGCATTCTGCGGTTTTGGAACTTCCCGCAGCTTCGGCGTGCAACCGACCGAGGTTTGGAAGCTGTAAGTTTTTGAAAGGGAAATTCGGTATCAGTTTTAAGTTTTCAAAGAGGCTGACGGCTTTGAGAGGAGAGTTCAAATTCTAATAATTTGAGTGCAACTAGATGGGGGCTTCCCAGCCATGGAAGCTGAGCAAATATTTACTGTATTTTTTTAATTTATCATATTATCTGCTAAAACAAATAATTTTCACTTTACTTTCAATCGCAAAGTTTAGCTCTGAAACTCTGACGTTGGTCTGCCAATATATTTGAGATTGTTGGTCACCAATTGTTGAGTTGAGGTAAAAGATCTTTCAGCAAATTAGCTTTGATTAGTCATTGAGGACTTCGATAACTGATGAATGGCTGAGTTCTTTTTGTTTGCTGAACATCCAAGGCAAAGTTCTTAAGAAGATTAATATTGAGTAGACGTAAATATAGAAATGAATTCTAACATGGTACCGCCCCTTTAGAGAAAATTGACAAACTCAATGTATTAAAATCAATATTCTATGATGATGCTATCGTTCCGCATAATTACTTATTATATTGAAAGTTTTGAATAGATTTTGGAATTTTTTAAATCTCATATTTAAAAATATAGATTTTGGATTAATTTGATAAACCCCTCAAATGGCTTTAGAGTAACTTTATATGAGGCGTCGTTGATTATGAAAATGATAGCGAGGGTAGATTTTACGTGTTGGTTAAATTTCATAACCTTTTTCCTAGAATGCATTTTTTTTATAAAACCTTCACGAGAAGATTTTCCAGACGCAATGCATTTGGGGAAACAAACTTTGTTCAAAAACCAAGGTTATATAAAAATTACTAAATTATTCAAAAAACCTTCCGGCGACAACAATACATAATGTGTTAATGTCGCGAAACATTGCAAATTCTGCATACAATTCATGCTAATCTGTAATAGAAGCTTGCATTTTCCGGCTGGGTGATGCTAATCACTTATATAAGCCGCAAATTCGCCTATAGGATGGCGAATTTAAGCTGTTCTATCCTAATTATGCCTAATTGCAACACTTTTAACAGGCTAAGCCAACGTCAATTGAAACAATAGCTTGTAACGTTCTGCAAGTTTTTTCTTCCAAGAATCTACCCACGGCTATTTAAGTTTAATCCCTTATACAAATACTTACGGAGCATAAACTTCGATAACTTGCGGCATGGTCACGATATTCTAAACTTCTACGCTGAATCACGCAAAATTACAGACAAAAAAATCGGCTTAACTTCAACTTTTGATACCCCTGAACACAAAATCACACAACGTAACAATGGGAAGGATTTCAACTTGTATAACAATTACTTTAAAAAGTATATCTCACAACACCTGACAAAAACTAGCTTGTTTTCATCTTACTGTTTTGATATTTTCAGTGGAACTGATGGTCCTGTGTAGAGAGCGGACCCTTTTATATTTGGACGCCGTTCGGCTGGCTGTGGCGTGCTCTAGTATTGGCTTGAATCTTGAATATCGCATCAAAACAAGTTCAAGAGAGCGAGAGCGCGAATGTGACGGACGCCGCAACAATACATGTGGCCGGTTGGTGTGCTGCTCGCTGATTGGCTACCCGCTGGAGGTACAGTCCGAAGACGTCATCAGCGAATACATCCAGAAGTCAGCTGACCACACATATGTGGGTACCTACCTAACCTGCTACAGCAGCTCAACGATCCTCCGCAATGCTACCAGAGAAACAGAGAAAGAGCGAGAATGTTTTGATCAGTGACGTCATGTCCGCAGATAAGCGACTCACTCAACTCAAGTAAACTTCTCGTGAATTAATTTATTAGTATTCGGTATACTCAGATTCTGACTCTAGGGCAGTAGAATACAGTCTCATCTGATTCATGTTTTTTTCGCATACTCTCTTGGACACAAACACGCGCTCGTTTTTGAACTTCATTTGAAAGCAAAAATGTGTTTTTGTTTTGGTTCGTTATCAGCCTCTCATCGGTCGGATCCGAATGTATGTATGCCGCTGTTTTGTTGCCATCTCATTTCGGTTCCGGAAACCTCCCGTCATGCTCTTTCACTCTCGTCCACTAGTTTCTACAATGTTCTCCTAACTTCCCTGTTGCGCCGCTTCACCGCCCCTGACCATTCTGTTCGACCGGGGACCGGTTGGAAAACAACAAGAGTAATAAAACTAGTGACTGCTGCTCTTGTTGAACTTTGGAAATTCGATTAGGTGATAGTTTGGGAAGCTGGTACTTTTCCAACCGGGTTAAATCATTCATTTTGATTTGTAAATTTTAAATTGATATTGTTTCATGAAGCATTCCGAACAATGATTCTCAGGACGATGGTGGATATCTCCCTGGAACGGCCATACCTTTTCATGCTAAGTAATCATGCTTAAACAATGTAATAAACAAGAAAATTTTCCACTGACCTCAGGTAGCCCTCCAGACCTTCTGTGAGCATGTACGTACCAATATGTGAATCAAACAAATCCAACTAGTTTCACAGGTGGTCAAATGTCCGAAGAAAAGCAGAAAACAAACAGACAACAATAGATAAATAATGGAAAATAACAAGTGGATCGAGCCACACCTCCAATTGATCCGTCGAGGTTAAATTATTTTCCTTTTGGTTGATCCTTCGTAATATTCAAAATCGTTGATTCTTAACCTCATCGACATAAAAAAATATTTTGGATTCTTGACTTCTTCTGCAGCGATCTGGATAACATTTGATCACTGATTGATGATTTCGTTCGAAACCATGAATCTTCCTCGGGTCATTGACTTTTATCAGCCTTCTTCAATAATAAAACTAAATAGTTGTTTTTGTTTGGACCCTTCGTGAGTCAGCAAAGATGAACGGTTGCAAGACTTGAGACGATGGGATCGATTTTCGATCCGGTCGAGTTATATTACGCCATTGCTTGCCATACAACGTCATATTGTAATGGTACACAAAGAAAATTCTCAATTTTCGATAAAATTTAATATAATATTTAATATAGAATTTTTTCCATAAAAGTTTAAAGCCATCAGAAAATCACATCGAAGCTACTTTCAACGGAAATATCATTCAATCAATGGACCTAAACCCAAGGACTCTGCTATGTGACATTTACGACATTTTAATCTCTGATTGGTTCTTATCAGTCTGTTGTCAGCTATGGAAGCTAGATTACGCTTTAGTCCGAAAGAGTGTGCTCTGAATAGTTGGCTTTCTATTGGATTGACAGGTAAACCTATGCATTTCGCCGACAATAGATGAGAGCGCGTGAGTGGCTCAACTGCCAACCAACTAACAGGCAGTCTTTAGATTACCAACTGGCAACGTTACTATACTCTAGCCTTTGCCTGAAATGTATTTTAACTGAAACTCCGCTAACTAGAACAAGTTTCAGTTAAGGTGAATCGCTGTGGAAACTTTAATCCTGATTGAACTTAATTTCACTTCGAATATTAGCTCCCGCAAAACTTACAACGATGAAACTTCATGTTTGCTGCAGTGTAGCAAACAGACCTAAGCAACACACATCCCAACTAACAATTTTCGCAATGTAAACGCTTTACCCATTTCATTTATACAGCTTCTAGCTGTATTCAACTGTTATACGATATGAGGCAACCTTTACTCAACCTATATACAAGCAAATCTGGCGAACTTAGTCAGCTACTTATGGCTGTTGGGACGATTGGGACAAGCTCGTATTACGCTTCTATGCCGTTGTTATCCTACTGTTTAGTTGTTTGTGAACTTGAAAGGTGCCCATCACTACACTGCCCATAAATGAGAAATTGGCTAACATGCCATTTTAGTCAATATCGTGAAAATGGTGTTACTTGATAGGTGGCACTCTTGTCACTGCATAACACTGCCAAAACAAGATGATTTGCGAGGATAACGACTTGAAAAATTAGATGGCTAATGTGCAATATAAATAATAAATTGTCTAATGTGCATGATGAGTCTGAAACCGAGCGCAGCAGCCAGTGTGTTTTTAATAGGGAATTTTATGAGCATCAAGTAAGAAGGTCTTATTGTCAAGTGGTCACAGGCATCAGGTTGTGAATCCGATGATTCAGGTTTCAAAACTTATTTTTTTGGTAAACTTTTATAATTAAAAAAATATATTAATAATTGTTTAAGTGTGAGATATTTTTCGGTTTTTGCAGTTTTTATTAAAATGTATGATAATATTAATATTATAAAATATTAAATAACAAATAACAAATTTTGTTATCGTGAGCTGTAAGATTATACCAATAAATTCTTGCCGGGAGGCAACAACGGTAAATTTTCATTAATTATACCTTGTGAAGCGCCCATACTCCGTTGCGCATCCATGTTTCACTCCCGTGTTGAAGTGCCCAACGTAGAGCACAACTCGCGTGTTCTTTCTTTCTCCGTAAAATGAAAGACAGTGCAATTCCATTTCTACTGTATGGAAAAAGCTCTTTGATGAATCAGTTATCCTGAGGTTGCAACTGTGCTCGTCCGCACCTAGCAAACCTCGGATAATAAACTCATCAGAACAACTGCCCCGATTCTTTATTCTTCGAAACCTTTTATACATGAATTTGTTACTTAAACTCTACACAATAGTTTTTCTCAAGTATGTACATATAAAGCGAGACAGATAGTTTTTCTCTTGGAAAGTCGCTGTCTGTTTTTTTAACAAGAATTAATGCTCCTCGCGGTAGGAACGGCTATGTAGGATGCTTACTCACCAATGTTTACTTTGACCTTTCTCGAAGCACCTAGTTAAGCCAGCGCGCATCGCTGACGACGCGGTAGCAACTGTTTATAAACAACTGACCCTGTAAATGTGCGACATTGTCACTGCTGCTGTTAAGTTGTGTATTTTCTACTACCGTATGGGGGTCTATTACTGGTTAATTTCTTACTCAGATTGATATTGGATTTTGAGGCCTTTGCACCTTGCTTACGTGTTAAGGTAAGTTCGACTCCTTTTTTATTTGTTGGAGGAATTTATCATGTTTATTTTGCTGCAAATCAAAATAATCGGAATTATGTATAAGTACACCACCAAATTATTTACACTGTACCGGAACCTGGAATCGAACGACCTCATTGGCGAACCTTGATACTACCAACTTCACTACGGAAACACTTTGAACTGACGTAAACAAATTTACATGCTCCAGATCGCTGAGTAGAGGCTTTATAATAAAGGGTGATACGGTCAAAATTTGGTCAAGGGAAAACGCGTGTAAATCGGTGAAATCGTTTATTTAAAAAATCAAATTAAATTTCTTTTTCAAGTTCAATTAATATAAAATTCAGGAAAAATATTCAGTTAGGCTTCCGCTTTTCCAAATCCGAATTGCCGGGCCTTACGCTTGACCCCTGCCATCAAATTTTGTACAGCCACCTTGTCCACCTTCTTCGCCGCAGAAAGCCAGTTTGCCTTGAACTGCTGCTCGCCCTTAGCAGTTTTTTTTTGGTCTTCTTTAGGTTCCGCTTGACAATAGCCCAGTATTTCTCAATTGGGCGGAGCTCTGGCGTGTTGGGAGGGTTCTTGTCCTTGGGAACCACCTGCACGTTGTTGGCGGCGTACCACTCCATGGCCTTTTTACCGTAATGGCAAGATGCCAAATCCGGCCAAAACAGTACGGAACAACCGTGTTTCTTCAGGAAAGGCAGCAGACGTTTATTCAAACACTCTTTCACGTAAATTTCTTGGTTGACAGTCCCGGAAGCTATGAAAATGCTGCTTTTCAAGCCACAGGTACAGATGGCTTGCCAAACCAGATATTTCTTTGCTATCTTTGACAGTTTCATGTGCTTGAAAACATCTGCTACCTTTCCCTTTCCTTTTGCCGTATAAAACTCCTGTCCCGGAAGCTGCTTGTAGTCGGCTTTGACGTAGGTTTCGTCGTCCATTACCACGCAGTCAAACTTCGTCAGCATCGTCGTGTACAGCCTCCGGGATCGCGCTTTGGCCGTCGTATTTTGTTTATCATCGCGATTTGGAGTCACTACCTTCTTGTAAGTCGATAGTCCGGCTCGTTTTTAGGCTCGATGCACGGTTGTAGACGATACACCCAGCTTATTTGCGGCATCTCGGAGAGAGAGGTTAGGGTTTCGCTTGAAACTACCGGCAACTCTCTTTGTCGTCTCAGCGGCTTCCGGTTTTCGATTTCCCCCCGATCCAGACTTCCTGGCTGTCGACAAACGTTCCCCAAACACTTTAATTACATTTGTAACGGTTGATTTGGCAACTTTTAGCAATTTTGCCAACTTTGCGTGCGAGTAGCTCGGATTTTCGCGATGCGCGAGCAAAATTTTGATACGCTGCTCTTCTTGCTTGGACGGCATTTTGACAACTGAAAAGTGAATTCCAAAATCAAAATAGGAGCAACATTCTACACACACACACCTTCAAAATGAGGGG